ACGGCATCCAATCCGGGAAGTCGGACGGTGTTAAAAACAAAGTCTTGTCATGGACAAGAACAATCGAATTAAACCCAAATCAAAAAAAAAAAAAAAAAAAAAAAAAAAAAAAAAAAAATAAAAAAAAAAAAAAAAAGAAATAAAAAAAAAAAAAAAAAAAAAAAAAAAAAAAAAAAAAAAAAAAAAAAAAAAAAAAAAAATTACTTCATAGCAACAAGGCGATGGATTTAAAAAAAAAAAATTCCATTAGCTCCACGTGGCGGTATTTTTGTGTTGTTTTTTTTTGCACGTTGGAATTTACAAGTTTAAATGAAAGTGTCTCGCAGTTTGAATGACAAGAAGAGGATAGTTTATGTCATTAATTTTGTATTAAAGCTACAGAAGAGGCTAGTTTATGTCATTACTGTTATATTACAGCTACAGAAGAGGATAGTTTATGTCATTAATGTTATATTACAGCTACAACCTAAGAGCTATGCTTTTTTTCCCTTCTTTTTAAAGACGAAATAATGTACATTAAGTTATGCCAGCACAATGGTGTAGAAAGGGGGGGGGGAGTGGGGAGAGGTGTAGGAAGGGGTCAGTGGGGTAGGATGGGGGTAGTTGTGTAGGAAGGTGTCAGTGGTGTAGGAAGGGGGAAGTGGTGTAGGAAGAGGTCATNGTAGGAAGGGGTCAGTGGTGTAGGGCGGGGGCAGTGGTGTAGGAAGGGGGTCAGTGGTGTAGGAAGGGGTCAGTGGTGTAGGACGGGGCAGTGATTAAAGGAAGGGGTCAGTGGTGTAGGACGGGGTCAGTGGTGAAGGAAGGGGGTCAGTGGTGTAGGAAGGGGGTAGTGGTGTAGGAAGGTGTCAGAGGTGTTGGAAGGGATCAGTGGTGTACAAAGGGGTCAGTGGTGTACAAAGGGGGGGGGCATTGATGTAGGAAGGGGCAGTGGTGTACAAAGGGAACTCACTTGCCGTACCCGGCAGCAGTACATAATATGTATATATTATATTAAATGATTTTTTTACGGTAGGCACATGTACTTTGAATCGACACATTAAAAACAAAAACAAGGGGGAAAAAGGCATTTACTAATGAAGAAATTCAAAAAAATTAAAAAGTGTAATAATTTTAACGATAAGTAATAATTATACAACAATATTACTAATTATTAACAATATAAAAAATTTTGTTTTTGTAAAAACACAACAAGTCAAAGGTGACTATCGAGTACACCTAAATTCCAATTTCTAAGTTCCTTTTCGACTAAATATAGATTAATGAAAAACTAAATTTCTGGTTTTGTGCTAAATGTATACTTTTTTTTTTTTAAATTTGCTTACAATTTTTTTGGGGGAAGGGGCTCAATGAGCCAGCTCCCCATACCCATCTTTTGCTCGGGAGCTTTAGGTGGCTTTGAATTCTTTCTTCCCCCCCCCCCCCCGAGCCGATCCAAGTGACGTACGGCACTCTTCTAACTGAAGTTTAAAAACCCTGTAAACAAATAACTTAAGCACATCTGACCGAAGCAAAAAGGGGTGCTACATGCAGTTTTTCTGTCAGAAATTTTCCCCCCGGTGGGGGGGGGGCACTTCAGATTTTCGGAGGGAGGCAGTGCCAGTAGCCAGATGCTTACCAAAAAAGGGGGGGGGGCAGATGGGACATACGTCCAGGAGCGCCAGACTAGCGGAGGGAGAAAATTGGCTTAGATGGTATTAATTGGTTGAAAATGATGGGTTTCAGAGTTGAAGGGAGGCGTAAAAATGAATCTTGTCCCCTGACGCCAAACACTGTCGATACGCCCCTGCTTGTGTCGTTGGAATAAGGCGGATGGGGTGGTCCACCCAGGTGTCACTTTTTCTTTATATGCAGAAGGTGACGATATATCTTGATCGGTGGAGGCGTTTGGGGAGCCTGCTCCCCAGAAAATTTTTGATTATTTCAACATCAAGAGGTGTATTTTTGATTTTTCTTGAATTCAATGCTACTAGGATACCTTTTGAACGAAAGAACATTTTTAAGAATTTGTGGTCGACATTATTTAGCCGACTGCCTAATATAAACTGAATTCACTCCGTTTGTTGCATAATCATTAGGCCTACGCTTATAATCAAGGGAAAGGGTGCATAATTTAGGGTGCTAAAGATAGTCGTACAAACTCAAAATGCACGGGTGCATTATTTTGGCTCCTACTAGAATTTGTTGTTTCTTTCAGAAAATTTTGAGGTGGCATTTCAAAATTTCGGGTGGGAAGGGCCAAAATAGCCATAATAATGACCTAAGACATCTTAAATTCCGCACCACCAGGAAATAAACTAAATTTATTCTAGTTGTGTCACCCATGAAGGTACGCTTTTGCCCTAGATTGTTCTTGCCGCTTAAATTATCATAGTCCCCCGAATTTTTTTTATAAATTCAAAATACAAGAATGCATTTTATCACATATCTGAATTTAGTTTTGCAACATTCTACACTTAATTGGAGACCAACGGAAGAGATCCTTGTTACAAACGTAGGTGTCACTTAACTTTAGAGCCATCGTGTGCGCCCACCAACCCCTAAGACTGCAGAGTGCCTCAGATATTTTGGAGGCTAAAAGATCTGATGAGGATATTTTATTAATTATCATCTTTCCATGCAGGGTTGGCAAAACGGAAATTGTTTGACCTGCCTGTGCTATGCAAAAAAAACAACAACAACAACAAAACAAAACATAATTAAAACATAATTATAGACATAAAAATGGTTATGTGGCTTTAATTTTTAGTTACGTTATTTTTAGGGATAGCTACTTAATTAATGAATTAATTTAAAAAAAAAAATTAAATTTAATTAAAAAGGGTTCGATCACTAAAATCATTGCAAACATTATTTTATACGATGAATGCAAATGAAAAAAAAAAACTTGCTTATAATTATAATGTTTGAACTACCTTTTCTAAATATTTCCTAATTTTTTTCAGAGTCAAAAGAAAAAAAAAAGAACAAGTTTAACAGAAAGGTCTATACATTTTTATGGGTTTTGAAAACTAGTCATTTTTATAAATTGTGAATGAACGGCATAACTATTCTAAGACGACATGAGCTGTTAACAAATTACATTATATTTTTACTGTGTGATTTTATCTAAGGGAAATCGTATGCAAATAAAGTATACATTTCCTCAATATTATGTAGATTGAAAATTGATTTGGAATTTTAAACTGCTAAAACTTTCTTAAATTGTCTCTTCGCTATACTTTTAAAAAAAATTTAATAAATCCACAGAATCTATTTCAAATTGACGAATTGGGAATAAGAATTCTTTTTTTTTTTAAACATGTACCCAAAAAATGGAATTGCCATGATAATCGAAATACTAGTTCACAAAAAAAATTCTTAGCTTTCTTTTGGATTCTCATCTAAATAAAATTAATAATATTTTTAAAAAAAGTTTGGAATGGCAATGGATGGGCACATTATTATTCTGACATTAAAAAGAGAAAAGCAGTTGGGATGTCAATGATAATAAATATCGGCTTAGTATTAAATAAAATATGTTTTTCAGGAAACTTTGTAACAAAAATAGCACAATTAAATAAAACCAAAATACTTTTGATTTAATAGTAATTGATGAAACGTGCACTATTGGTATGCGCCCTTTAAATTCTAAATTAGAAAAAAATAAAGCATGATGCCATCATACAATTTATAATTAACACCTATACCTAGGTTTCTAGACATGCTTTTACGATGAACTATAATAATTTGAAAACAGTTTGCACATGTTTAGTACGTGACTACCACTGTTCCCTCCAAGGTTTTCTGGTTGTTCAAAATCATACAGTTGCGTGCAAAGTTTTACAGCACCGATTTTTTTGTGTGCAAAATTTTACAGCCCACCAATACGAACACTCACTTGCATGGAAATTTGCTGCGCGGATACTCAAAACTGCTGCGCGGCGTCTGTGAGATAGTTATGCGGCCGCGCAGCCGCGCAGCTTAAAGGGAACATTGGTGACTACCTATTTTTAAAATTGTAGACCTTTATATGTATGTAAATGTATTTTAATACAGTGTCATTATAGTCTTTTAAACATGTTAAGTTGCAAAAAAAAAATAAAAAATAGCGATATATGCGAACAACAGGAAATACGATTTTTTTATAACGGAATAGTTAAATAGCTTTATATATATGGTTCATCAAATATATTGATCCTAGCAGACTTTATGGAGTCCACTAATTGTAATTCGTTAAAGGCATCAGTTATTAGGATTTTTTAAACGTTAAAAATGACAATTTTGTAATTTTTAATTTAAAAAAAAATATATATATTTCTCTTTTTTTGTAAACATTGTGCTCCATTGTCTTTTAAAAAAATCACAATTTGGTAGTTTTTTTGTATAAAAAATATATTCTGTTTTACTCTTGTTGGTATTTTTGCTCGGGGTGGGGGGGCGGGGGCACTTGACTTTCCCCGGGGGTTATTGCCCCCCTCTGAGCTCTAGCTGAAAGAAACCCTGGCTACATGTGAGTTCAGCTGTTATTCCGTCCAGGGGCGAATTATTGAATTTGTCATGGATCGCGGTATTGCAAGGTTTGTTATTTCCAGGTTTTACTGTGCCAAAATTCTCTCTATGTATATATTTAAGTGTTGTGTTTACGGTGGAAGGGAGGGGGGTGGGGGTGGGATCAAACTAAAAATCCGCCCTGAGCGGCACAATGTCTGGCTACGAACCTGTGTCAGCGTCGTGACATTTAACAGAAAAAAAATAAACAATTGAGCTTGTTAAAATCAATAAAAAAACAGCAAGCTATTTCAGCAGAAGTTATAATCAAACTGTTCTACGTTAGTAAAAATCCCGTCCAATCGAAGTTTTCAATTTCCAATGTTAAACTTGATCAGATAACAGATTGATGTTCGCGACGTTGATCCTAAATCCTACTTACATTAAGCTATTTTTAAAATAAAATATCATATATTATATGACCTAATTTATAGTTATATATTTCGACTCACCTTTTTGTACGGCTTGAAGTGCAGGTCGTTCCACATCCTGTTCTCCATCAACAGGTCGTAGTTTGACAAAGGCACGTTGACCTCCCCTAGGTACTCTGGGAGTTTCAGGTGATGGGCCTTGTGGAAGGCCATGATCCTGAGCCGCAGGTTTTTCATCTCCTCCAAGTTCAGCTCCGTGAAGAAAAACTCTTTGTCCAGAACTGGAGCGCACGTCTGCCGGACCGGCTCGGAGCTCTGCTTCTGCAGCTTGCCGGGCATGAGGCAGACTTTGAAGAAAGGATTCAGGACCAGCTCCGGCTTTTCCGGAAACCGGAGTCCCTCGGCTCTGATGATGATGACCTTGAGCCTCTTTGTTGCGGGGAAGTATTGAAATGAAAATTTCACGTCGCCTCGTTCCGTTTCCGTCTTCGCAGCCGAGGGCGGCTCGTCGCTCGCCGGCAGTGCCACCAGGTTGATAAGCGAGCTGGATTTGGGTTTCTCCAAGGAATGAGACCTTTCGACCTTAATAATCTTCTTCTCCGTCACGCTGACCTCTGGGGAGGAATGTCTTTTGTCCTGAAACGGATCGATCGGGGCCAGCTGCCTCCTCGGCTTGCCGTGATGCGGGCTTCCGTTCGGGCTGTCCCCGTGACCTTGACCTGTCTGATGGTGGCAAAGAAGCCTGATGACATCGTTGGGGACCAGCGACGACCGGCGCCTGTAGTAGCGCTTCGAGCGACGGAACGATTCTTTCATGGGGAGGTACTCGTTCTTATCGGTCAGTCCAGTGTACGTGCCCCTGTATTCGGCCGTCAGGTGGTTGACGTGCAGCAAGTCGGATGACGTAAACCGTTCATCCGGACAATAAAAATCCTGGAAGGATCTGTGTATTCGTCTTGGCCGCGCCCTGAACTCGGTGGACGGTATTGTCAGCGAGCCTTTCCGCGGGCACGTCGTCTGATCTTTGCCACTGTTTCCTGAACTGATTCCGCTGCTGGATAGTTTTTTAACGAGATGCGGAGAGTGCCCGTTTACCGGCGGGGCCTGGTCGACCTGCACGTGGGGCAAGTTGGACATGGACCTAACTCCAAAATCCCGTAGAAACCCATGCGAGTCTCGTCGAGGTGAGACGGGCGCGGAGCGTATTCGGACCAAACTGTTTTCAGGGGCGGCGAGGGCGGAGAACGACGATCGTGGAGAAACTCCGGGGCTGGTTGAGGCGGACCACGACGTGACGCTGGGCTCCCCGCTCGAGTGACTGACCAGGTCGTCGTTGGAACCCACGCTCGGTTGTCTGGACGAGTCGTTGGAGCCCGGGATGATGAACTGCGGTATAGTTCTCGGGGTGACGATATTCGTTGAAAACTGTTGCTGCTGGTTGGAGCCGCCCCTGTCGTTGCCTCCCCCTCGACCGCCCCTGCGACCGTCGGAGTCTCGGCCGTGGTCGTTGCCGAAACCTGGCAGACGGCATTTTGTTACGAGCCAGTCACGCAGTTCCTTCATAGTGTCTGTGCCTTTCTTATCCTCCGCCATCTTGTCTACGAGGTTAGGATTTGGGGGGGGGGGGGGGGGGGAATACTGGGGCAAATCAGGAATAATTAAAAGAGACTATGTCGCCCATTAAGTATTCATTGACGCTTAAAGCGGCGGAGCAACATTTAGAAACCTAGCCAGTCACGCAGTTCCTTCATAGTGTCTGTGCCTTTCTTATCCTCCGCCATCTTGTCTACGAGGTTAGGATTTGGGGGGGGGGGTGGGGGAATACTGGAGCAAATCAGGAATAATTAAAAGAGACTATGTCGCTCATTAAGTATTCATTGACGCTTAAAGCGGCTGAGCAACATTTAGAAACCTCTCATATAAGAAGCTCTTCTTCTGTCTGTATCTGCTGGGGACGTCACTTGTAAACTGTGATACAATGGACCACATGACCTGGGAAATAATGCCAATAAATATGAAGAGGGAAACAAAATGCCTGATTTTAATAGACTCAATGACTTCAACAATAGACTCAATGACTTCAGTAAATAATATTAACGTCAATCTTGATTTAAATAATTTCCTTTTGTCACATTCCAGGAAATCCAATTCTATCAATGTCCCGAAAGCTTCTATTGTAAGTGATGATAATCCATTCTAAGTTGGTACATTTTTAATTCCATATTCTATTTTGGTGATTTCAATGTCTCCAAAAGGTAAAACATGAAAAAGACATTTTTGGTCCCTTCCAAAAGTACTTAGTCCCAGTTGATGTCGCAGACGACATGTCCCATAATAAGCACCTATTGTTGATTTTGAAGTATGAGCTCTCTACGACGAACTTAAACAACGTAGCCGTCCGTACGATCATGTGGGTAGGCTAACAGGAAGTGTCACCCAGTGATAGATCACTTGGGCGTTCATCCCACAGATTGAAAGCTATAGGCAGAAGGGGGAGACAATCGACCAAGAGAGGATGGGTAATATTTTGTGAAGTAGAGAGCAAGGGAACTATACCGGTTTAATTGTGGTGGTAGTGGGGTGGGGGTGGGAACGTGGGGGTGGATGGGGAGTGCGTGAGGGGAGATTGTAAAAATAAATTAAGGATAAGGGTGGTGGGGAAGTGATGGATAAGAAGATGTTTGGCAGTGAAGAGATAATGTTCGTGTGGGTGGGAAGCTGTGGTAGTCTGGATCTGAGGCTATCTAGAACCTGTGGACGTGTGTACTGTGGTAGTCTGGGTCTGTGGCTATCTAGAACATGTGGACGTGTGAGGCTGTGGTAGTCTGGGTCTTTGGCTATCTAGAACCTGTGGACGTCTGAGGCTGTGGTAGTCTGGGTCTGAGGCTATCTAGAACCTATGGACGTGTGAGGCTGTGGGAGTCTGGGTCTGTGACTATCTAGAACATATGGACATGTGAGAGAGTATTTTTGAATGCCATGAAAATTACATGTTGTTAATTCAATGGGAGAAGTTTGTGAGACTTAGTGGAAGAGACAAGCAAGGTGGCTGTGAGACTTAGTGGAAGAGACAAGCCAGGTGGATGTGAGACTTAGTGGAAGAGACAAGCTAGGTGGCTGTGACATTTAGTGGAAGAGACAAGCCAGGTGGCTTTGAGACTTAGTGGAAGAGACAAGCCAAGTGGATGTGAGACTTAGTGGAAGAGATAAGATAGGTGGCTGTGACATTTAGTGGAAGAGACAAGCCAGGTGGCTTTGAGACTTAGTGGAAGAGACACGCCAGGTGGATGTGAGACTTAGTGGAAGAGACAAGCCAGGTGGATGTGAGACTTAGTGGAAGAGACAAGCTAGTTGGCTGTGACATTTAGTGGAAGAGACAAGCGAGTGGATGTGAGACTTAGTGGAAGAGACAAGCCAAGTGGATGTGAGACTTAGTGGAAGAGACACGCCAGGTGGATGTGAGACTTAGTGGAAGAGCCACGCCAGGTGGATGTGAGACTTAGTGGAAGAGACACGCCAGGTGGCTGTGAGACTTAGTGGAAGAGACACGCCAGGTGGCTGTGAGACTTAGTGGAAGAGACACGCCAGGTGGCTGTGAGACTTAGTGGAAGAGACAAGCCAGGTGGCTGTGAGACTTAGTGGAAGAGACAAGCCAGGTGGCTGTGAGACTTAGTGGAAGAGACAAGCCAGGTGGCTGTGAGACTTAGTGGAAGAGACAAGCCAGGTGGCTGTGAGACTAAAGATGTTATTGTTTTGTTTTTTTTTAATCGCTTTGTTTTTAAAAAGACACAAAGTTGTGCGATTACCGCATGAATGTACGATCTAATTTTGATTGCCGATTCCTAATAGTCTACAATTTTTAATCAAATTATGCTTAAATATAGCTGTATATAGCCTGGCTCATGTATCATTCGATAATAGTGTAAGATTAACAGTATCTTCATCAGTTCCCTCCCCCACTAGACTTGGTAAAGTAACACTATCTTCACCTATGACCTCCTCATTAATACTGGTAGTGTAACAGTATCTTCATCTGTGTCCTCCCACTACGACTGGTGATAAGCAATTTGTTGCCATGTCTACCGCTTGTCCGTGGTGATAAAATGAATCAACGTCTGGCCACTAATAGACAGGGAACAACTGACAGGATCGAATCTCGAGTCTTGGATGAAATCGACCACATGTCCGGTCGGATCATGACAGAGTAGGACACGTGACATAAAAACCCAGGCATTTATTTCACTAATCCTCGAATATAACAAAGTATAAAATGAAATAAATATTTGAAGTTACATGTTCATTATCATAGTAATGTAAAGATAATACAATCCCTTACATTATAGGAGTGACATTAAGTCATAAAAACATAACACTTGTTAAATAAGTTGAGGTAGTCTCATTTAATCCACATCGTGAGGGGGCTTGCTGTTAAACCAAGGGTCTCAAACTCGCGGCCCGCGGGCCATTTGTGGCCCGCAAGACGATATTTTGCGGCCCGCTACATGATAACAAAGTTTAGTAATTAATGCGGCCCGTGCGTTTTCTCCATCTCATATCTATAATGTGACCCGCCGCGAAGGTTTCAGTCGATTCTCACCGACTAGTCTAATTCTGATTTATTTTAATGTTGGTACAGGTTTGGACGTTGAATATAATGGTAAAAACCGTTTTAAAATCGGACTCAAGGTTTTTATTTTATATCATTTTATGAGACAAACATGGCGGCCTAAGTGCGGTTTTGAGAAAAGTTTTAAAAGTCTGTTATTGGGTAATGCACAACCATAATTGTGTAAATCGAAGCAATCGGACACAGTATCAAAGAATATCTATTTGAAATTGCCGCTAGTGATTACTAGAGTGGGAAACTCCGAGCCTATCAGCTTTGTCACTTTCAAAAAAAAAGGGTTAGTGAAAAAGGCCTTTTTCTACGATAAAAAAACCAAAATTCATTCTCCTTGTAATAGCATCTTCCTTTGCATCAATAATTTATAAATATTGCCTGCTCCTGCCTACTGTTTGAACACGTTTTAGCCTTCAATGCCTTCACGGAGAAGGGTGGGGTGGTTGCTCCTGTACTAAGTGATCCTAAAGGGCTCATGGACTTGGCTTTTTTCTTGTTGACATTACACAGGAGCTGAATGTCCTCAACGAGAAGTTACAAGAACAGGGGCAGCTTGTCAGTGTTGCCTATGATAACGTCAGTAGGAAGAAGCGCTGCCAGGTCTCTGGCAACACGGAATATGGGGAAGAATGTGAAGCCTAGTATTTGAGAACCCTTAATGTATTTATATACTATTTGAGGTTGAGCAGATTTTAACAGTTGCACTTTGTTCATTTTAATCGCTTTTTTGTGTGGAATACTTGATGCGGCCCAGTTTCACACAGACTCTACCACCTGCGGCCCCCGGGTGATTTGAGTTTGAGACCCTTGTGTTAAAGTAAAAAAAGAAAAAGTTTTTAAAAAAAAGTTA